CATTTAGGCGGAAGCATATCGGCTTCAAAATCTTCTTTGATTTGAGTCTCGTTTGGGTCATTGTCGGGTTTTACTCCATCGACTTTTATCACCTCAATGCCAAAAGTATTATCAACAAAACACGGTTTTATGCGATAAGCATTCTAAAAATCAATGCCTAAAATTAATTCAGCGGGACATTCTTTTACAATAAGTGAAGGAATGGTTCGTTTAATGCCTCTAACATAAAAAGGTACCTCCATATAACCAAAAACAGGATGTGACGTCCCGTCAGCCGTGGTTATATGTATATTACATGGTTTCAACTTAACTCCAATTTCTTTTAATTTTAAATACATAGACCATCCAATAATAGTGGTCATAGCTCCACTATCCAATAGCCCCTTGAACTTTAAACCATACGTTTGAATGAATAAATATGGTCTACCGTCAGCTTTCAAATTAATACGAGCCTTGGCGATGCTCAAGAATTTACGTGGAAGGGTTTCGATAGTGTTTATTCTACTATGAGCTTTTCGTCGCTTACCTCCACATCCGCGTAAGCGACGAATTTGGAGTTTTTTGAATGGTTATGACAAGAGCATTTGGGTGCCAATACACCATCTCGACCACACCGGAAGCAAAATATCCTAGTAATGGCCTTATCGCAATCGAAAAATCGGTGCTCGTTTGATTTACAATTAAAACAAGCTCCTTTATATGCGACCTTATCGGTTTCATCACTACTCTTTGTCAATACCACCTCGGATTTACCCGGATTCGTGTTTTGTTTTACATAATTTCTTGGTTGAAGGTTTCTAAACCTCTGATTATTACCAATAGCACAGCATTCAGCTGTCTCAGAACTCGAATCGACTTGTTCATATGATTCATAACCATCTAATCCATTTTCATAAAAAATCTGATTAGAATCCGCTTCAATAACGTTCACAGTTCTTCTGGGAAAATATGGTCGGAAATTTTCATTTGATTTAGCCATAGAGGCTTTCACTTCCGTTTTATTTCTTAATTCATCGGCCATTTCGGCCGTTCGGAGATGACATGACGTTTCTTGAACGCTTTCCCATTTACGACCAATGACTCTTTCTCTCAATTTGTCGTGAAGACCGTTTTGAATAATAGAAATCCGCTCTTGCTCGTCATAAACGTCTAGCGAATCAAAATCGCGCAATACCGAAGCTATATAATCCATAGCTCTTTCGTCCTTTCCTTGACGTTTTTTAGCTCTTTCAGTTCTGGTCAATTTTTGAATCGTGTTCGGTATTGAACATACCATTCATACCATTCATACACACTACCCTTAATGAGTAAATGGAACTTTCTATGGATTTCTCCATATGATACTCCCTCCGCGGAACAATACAAATCTAATTTCTTAAGAAATGCACGCACATCTCGTTCCTCGGCTATTTTTGAATTCGAGTCGGCTGAAAAATGCCAGTTCAATTTATGTATAGGTAAGCCACGATGATTCGAACTGAATTGACTCATGTCTCCGAAACTGTTTACTTGTCCGGGGCTAAATTCATTGAATAAACGATTTCCTTGCCCCACTCGGTTATATGTATTGTACCGATTGTATGCACGAGTATCAGTTACATGCAATATACCGAGGTGACTATTTTCCAACTCACTCACTTTCTCTGTTGAGGAATTTAGTGCCGTTAATATTTGGTGTACAGTCGATTGATTTTGACCATTTTCTCTCACTTGTTCGTTCACATCATTATGGTTGGTCACACCTTGTGCACCAGTCTGATTTGCATCCGTCTGTGCTTCAATAAGTGGCACCCCCCTCGCTAATATGCGAAATATTAGAAACATTTGCCGGAATAAAATCGCTGAAGGCGCTATAAAAATATTTAGTTCAAATTAATTTCAATAGATGGCGCTGAAGGCGGCAGAAAAATATATTCAATAGGTGGCGCTTAAAGCGCAATGAGTTCTCTTGTAAAGTAGATGAAAAAGGAACAACTATTAACAGATTGTAAGCATGAACGACGATAGATGGCGTTGACGAATTTTGGCTATTTATTCTAAGAGACACAAAAAATTGACAGATTTCAAAACTTTATGACATCGGCGGCCTGTATCTTTACTTTTTTCGAAAAGTTTCAAGGGACTTTCGCTTGATGGCGCTAAATGAGAAATGAAATGGCCGAGGCTTCGCCCTATGACATATTTCGGGAGAAAGATCAAATACTACCGCGGCTTCCCACACAAATCTAAATTCATGCACTTTATTGCTATCTTGTGTGAATTAAATGTGCTGTCGTCAAGCGTCCAGCATACAAAAATTAACTGTCGACTGTGCGTCCAGTATCTTGGTCTGCATAGAGGCCCAAGAGAAGAACTTGATCGGTGAACGTCGCAAGAAGAACTGATTTTTACTGTCAAGCGCTCAGCCTTTTATACTCTTGGGTTTGCGTAAAGAAAATGAGAGGAAGAGAGAACGAACTAAGCTGTTTGAGTGAGCGCTTGTGTAATGGTATGGCGAGCTATTGGACGTTTGAGTCGACGTATTTGTGTGTATGCGTGTGAATGGTCAAAGGAGAGAGTGAGCGCGCGACTACGTACATGCAAAGTGAGTGCATTGAGTAAGGTCATGGTTAAGACCGACGGTGCTGTGTGCCATATAATTTAAATGAGCAACGTACATGCTTAGCGAGGGGAATGCTTGAACTGTGTGATTGTGCGCGTGTATGCATGAAGTGAATGAAGGGGAAACGACTAGCATGCTATCGTTGTTGTGGTTTTTGAGAGTACATGTGCTCACTGCATGACCAAATGAATTTTGGCATTTCTGAGAATTGGCTACACTTTTGATTAGAATAAATTCACTTTTTTGTACTTACTTTTGCGTGTTGTTTGCCACTATTTATTCACTATTTTTTGTTAATTGTCTTGTTTTTAATCTATTTTGCATGCACTTAATTTTAGCCACCTTTTCTTTTAATTTTAGTTTGTAAGTATTTATGTTAATTTATTGTTTTCGCTTTGTTTGGTCCATGCGCGTGCTGCTTCTATTGGGTTTCTAATCGGAACTGTCATTATTGATGTTGTGGTTTGACAATTGCATGCTTGTCAAACTTTCTTTCAAATAATTTTGACCGTTAAACTGAATTGGGATAAAATTGACTGTGATAAATGGCTGTGATAGTTTTTAATCTAGTTTCTAAGTTTTTATGTAATACATTTTTATTATTTTAATGCATGCATCCAAACAGTGTTTATCAAAGAAACTATATAACAAACATTCATAAACAAAAAACTTAACAAACTTAACGAAAAATGGGATCATACATGACGCTAACGTTACTAGATTCCAAACTTCTTATATTAACACAATTTTTAGAATTTTTTATAATAATAATAATAATATTTATTCACCGCCAAAAACTGGCTGAATCTTCTTTGAGTGTGTACATTGATTTTTATACATTTATGGTGGGAAAAAGGTTTAATCATTAATGTGTGCACATCTGATCACCGTTAAAAACCACATCTTTTCAAAATTTAGAACAGAAAACATTTTTTGAAAATGGAGAGAATATCATAGATATATAAATAAATAAATAATTGAAATATTCAATAGTTAATATTCAAATTGCACCCGAATACAATGAGTCAAAAAAAAAAAAATAAATATAGGGAAAAAAAATATCACATTAATTCGTTAAAGAAAACAGTATTATGATTAGATATCATTGACAACTTTAAAAAATGTTCATCGCTTAAGGCTAAAAGTTGATTTTTGAATGTTGATCTCTTTGGTTGCGTTGAGAATAGTTCTTGTACTTTGTTTGACATTTTGCACATTTGATTGATTGGTACCGATGGATTTATTCTCAAGAGTTTGTCGTTAATTTTGAAAGATTCCACATTTCGTAAATTTCGTTCGTTTTGATTGAGAGAGATTTCTGCTTTAAGTGATGGGCAATGAATGTTATTATGCAGTAAGTCAAATATGTATAAAACTGATGCATTTATGCGGCGCCTTTGAAGTGACTGCATATTGAGTTTGCCTAGACGGGTGCTGTACGATGAAATTTTAAAGTTATTTGAAATGTTTGGATACTCCTTGAGCGCAAACATTGTGAATTGACGCAGGCACGATTCAATTTTGTTCATGTGTATAGCATGATATGGAAGCCATACCAAACTGCCATATTTCAAGATTGATTGTACAAGGGCACAATACAATGATTTTAAAGTATGGACATCAGGAATATCGTAGCAAAATCTTTTGACAAAACCAAGTGCTGATGTCGCTTTGGCCACCATTGAATCGATGTGTTTGACAAAGTTGAGTTTATTGTCAAAGATGATTCCTAAGTCCCTTTGTTCATTCACTCTTTTAAAGATGTGACTGCCGTAACAGTAAGAGTTAACGATTTGCTCTCTCCTTTTCGATATCGACATAATGGAGCATTTATCCAGGTTCAAATGTAGTTTGTTTGTATCGCACCACAGTTTCAGTTTGTCGATTGTTGATTGTAGTTTGGTTGCGTCGTCTAAGTTAGCGACAGATGTTGCCAATTTCAAGTCGTCAGCAAACAGAGAGATAAAAATATCATCATCTTTGATGGCACTCACAATGTCATTGATGAACAATAAAAATAGCGTAGGACCCAAGTGGCTTCCTTGTGGTACCCCAGAGTTTACCACAAACTCACTCGACTCCATCTGACCATATTTGACAAATTGACGACGATTTGACAGATACGATTTAATCCATTCGATCAAGTTTGGCGGCAGATTGAATTTGAATAATTTTGCTATCAGAAAGGAATGGTCAACAATGTCGAAGGCCTTGCTGAAATCCGTATAAAGCACTTCAATTTGCTTATCGTCCTTCAATTCTTTTATGGAATAATGCAAAAATTCCAGTAGGTTTGATGAAGTTGAACGACCTTTCATAAAACCGTGTTGTTGAGGTACGATTTTATCTGCCACCATTTTGCTGAGCTCCCGATTGATCAGATACTCAAAAAATTTGGCTATCGTTGGCAATTTGGCGATGCAGCGATAGTTTTCAACGTTAGAACGCGATCCTTTCTTGAAGATTGGTCCGACGCTGTAACGCTTCCATTTGGTGGGAAAATGTCCAGACGAAAGTGATTCATTGAAAATCGTTGAGCACAATTTTTCAGAAGAATTGGATGAATCCCATCAGGACCGGCACCTTTCTTTGAGTCTAATTTCAGCAGCTCATCGAAAACGGAATATTCGTTAAGTTTGAATTGATCCACGTTTGAATTTGTTTGAGTTTGGATTAGAGCTGTATTTTGAAATTGTGAAGGTTGAATCAAGAAGTTATTTTTGAAAAATGTTGCAAACATTTCTGCTTGCTCCTTTTTGTCAACCGATGATATGTCTCCAAAATTCAGCAATTTCGGATCGCAGTCACTATTTTTCTTAGTGTTGACAAAGCGCCAGAATGATGATGAATTTGACTTTAACGAAGAAGTCATTTTGTCGACATAATTGTTGTAAAGTTCCGTGTTTAGTTTGGTGTAATTGTCGAGAACATGCAGATAATTTGAGTTATCACCAGTTATTTTCGATCTTTTCCACTCCTTGTTCTTTTTGTTTTTGAATGATTGCAGTTGCTTATTTTTCCACGGACATTTCGATTGAACTTTTTTTGTCTGAGTGGGCACGTGTTTGCTGATCGCATCGTTGAGTATTTGGTGTAAAATATCAACCTTTTCGTCAAGGGATTTATTTGAGAAGCGATGAGAGAAGTCGATTTCAGCAAAGTACCTGTTCATCGCAATGTAGTCGGCTTTAAAAAAGCTTCGAGTTGAAATTTGCTCTTCATTAACGTCGTTTATGTGCCATTCATACGTCAGTAGAATTGGTGGATGGTATTGTTCATCAATGGCAGACAAGGGCGGCGGGCAAGACACTTCAACATTCAAAAAATCGTTTGTGAAGACCAAATCCAGGAGTCTATCACTGGCATTGCGAATGGAATTGATTTGGTATACACCATTTGCTGTGATGCCTTCAATAAAATCGGCCGCATGTTGAGGAGTGATGCAAGTTGGGATGAGAACATTATGTTCAGCATCATCTGTAATCCAATTGATCAGGGGAAGATTGAAATCACCCATAATAATGATGGTATCATTTGGATTTGATGGAATATGGTTATTTGCGGACAAGTGGCTTTGAAAAATATCCGGCTGTGAATGAGGTGGAATATAAGCCACATAAATGAAGACATTGAATTTTGCATTGATGTTGACCTTAACGCAAACATATTCTAATTGACTTGCATTATCGAGTACAATGTTGATGGATGTCAGTTTAGAGCTAACTGCGATGAGAACACCACCACCACGACTCAACAGTGAACCAGTCTCGTAACGATCTTTGCGATAGACATGGTAAGAATTGTCAATGAATTCTGACGAAAAATGTGATTTATTCAGCCACGTTTCCGTTAAAACGACGATCGAATGCGAAAATAATGTGGAGTTTCCAAAGAATTGTTTTGATTTGGTGCGAAGGCCACGAACATTTTGATAGTAGATATCATTGCTCACCAAAGTTGATTGAGATTGAGCTTGAATTTTGTCGTCGATAGTTTGAATTTGAGTTAAAACCGATTGAGGAGACTGCTCAATTGATTCACCATTTGATTCAATAGCCCGAGCTCTTTTGGACTCATAAAATGATTGCCCCGATGATGTGAATGATTTTGGTTTTGTTGTGCTGTGTGGCGGAAACGTTGCCTTATTGGCTGTGCATTTGATTGGGCCCAGATGTTTTTTTGATTTGAGTTTGAAATGCCGTTGGAATATTTATTTTGATCATTTCTACTAACCTTAGAGTTTGAAGTGTATTTTTTTTGCTTTTTGACGAAATGCTGCCTATTACTTTTCCGCACACACCTAGTGTGTAAGGTAAAGTATTGGAATCGGTCGAAAAATTAACACCCATAAAAAATGTGTTTTGTGGGTGTTTTTGGGGCCAGGGAACACGAATCTAGCGTTTTTTCGATGTCCGAATGTATGTGCGTACCCTGTACCCTGTACCCTGTACCCTGTACCCTGTACCCTGTACGCTGTACCCTGTACGCAAAAATTTGTTAACACGATAACTTTCAAACAAGAAAAGTAATTCAAAATCTGACTTCACAGGATGATTGGGGGTGCCGAGGAATAGAAACCATTAGATTTTGAGCGACTTTGGTTGACAGGGTAAAGTGTCATGTCTGGTGTGATGCCCATGTCCAATTTAGGGTGTTTCCACAAGAAAAATATTAAAAAGTGGCTATTATCATTTTGAAGAGCGCTAAATTCTGTATAAGATGATTTTATTTTTGATGCTGATTGGTCGCCGATGTCACTTCCTGGACTAAAAACACATTTATAAATTGATTCCATGTTACATTCACGCCAAAATCTGTAATTGATGAAATTATAAGATTGAACTAAATTAAAAACACTCAAAATAATTTTAATATCAAATTAATTGCTTAAATATTAATAAAAGTAACACAAAAACTCACAATTTTACCACAATAAACCAAACAATGCAAATTCGCCAATTCATTTGACAGAATGACATTTGAAGCGTGATTCGCTCACGCATGACAAATGACAGGTTATGTGTCAAATGAATTGGCGATTTTGCATTATTTTGGTATATTGTGGTAAAATTGTTAGTTTTTGTGTTACTTTTTTAATATTTAAGCAATAATATTGATATTAAAATTATTTTTTATGTTTTTAATTTTGTTCAATCTTATAATTTCATTAATTACAGATTCTGGCGTGAATGCGACATGAAATCAATTTTCAAATATGTTTTTAGTTCAGGAAGTGACATCGGCGACCAATCAGCATCGAAAATCAAATAATCTTATACAGAATTTCACGCTCTTCAAAATGATACTAGCCACTTTTTAATATTTTCCATTTGGAAACACCCTAATGTCCATCCATGGGAAAAATTCAATTTTTCTTCCAAAAGTGATATTTAATGTATTCTTAAACACTCAAAAATGTGTCTTGGGGGGTTTTTGGGTACGAGGAAACCGAATATGACGTTAGTTTTGCGATACAATTCATTTTCGACACACTTTTTATACGAAAAATTCAAAAAATTTGGATTTTTGTATGGAAGCCATACCTGTATGATATCGTAATGAGCTGAAACTTTGCACAGGTTATTTTTATCACACATAAATACCATTCCAAGAGTTTGAAGACATTTCAACGAATATTAGGGGCACCTCCCGAACAAAATTTTGGATTTTTCGCTCTTAATATGCATTGAAATTTCTTCAAACTTTCAGAATGTTAACTTTTTGTGAAAAAAATAACCTCTGCAAATTTTCACATGATTACGATATCATATAGGCATGGCTCCGATACAAAAATTCCCATCTTTAGTAGTTTTTGTAAGAAAAGTGCTTCGAAAATTATTTTTATCTAAAACTTATGTCAGATTTAGTTTTCTCGTGAATTATTTGAGTAAAAGATTTGTAATAAATGCATGTCGTGGATCACAGTGCGGAAAAGTTCATCTTACGGATGTAAGACATTTTATTTTTGGATCAAAATCATATAAATTGTGGTTCATAATGGGGAAAAGTCAATTTTTGGTTTTTGGCCAATTTGGCAACCCCCACATGAAATTTTTAAGTCGCAATTGGCACCATTTGAGAGCTTACTTTAAGACCTTTCTAACGAAGATGCATATGTCTTGGTTATGTCAAGTCTAGGTCGCACAGCGACCGTATGAAATAATGGCCATTTTTGCATGACCTTTTGCATAGTTTGCCATTTATACTAACATTTTTGTAGATTTCTTTTAATTTCATTTGTGACTAATCGCATGCACTTCTCCCGACGATAGTCCACCTTCTCGCCTGGTGAGAGGGGACATAAAATTCGGTATTTTATCGATCTTATGCGAGGAAACTATCAAACATGTAGTTATTTGTGGTTATAATTTCATATTTCATACATCTAGACATTTTTGTGAAAATTCGAATTTCGGTACATTTGGCCGATTTTTGGTGGAATAGCCATCCAAAACGGTCGATATTTTATTCAATTTTGTTTGGCTAGTCACAGAGCATATCTACAGAGTCATTGGAGTACATTTTGGCCCATAAAATACTTCAAATGTTAAAATTAAAATGTTAAATGTTTGTCCTTTTTGGCCATTTTTGGCCATATTCGCACTATCAAAGGCCATACATATCATGAAGACAAGAATTTTCGGGGATATAAGCTATGCGGCATTTTATAGCTTAGACTTGGGCCTAAAAATCGGTGAAATTTTCAAGTGACCATGAAAGGCTAGTTTTCGAGCTAATGACCATTATGTGTCAGGCCAAACGGTAACTTTTTGGTTTTTGGCCAATTTGGCCACTCCAACTTGAAATTTTTGGACCGCAAATGGCTTTATTCGATAGCTCACTTCAAGACCTTTCCAATGTTATGCATATGTCTGGGAGGGTGTCAAGTCATGGCGCTTCGGTGACCATAGGGAAAAAAGTCGAAAAGTGACTTTTAGAGGCCGGCCATGGCCAACATGGCGGCCATATCGAAAAGTGCCGGTACAAAAAAGTCTTAGTTTTTTGTGTACTTTAATCACAGAAAGTTTCAAAAAGATTAAAAACAACTACGCAAAATTGCGCACAGACAGATATACCAAATATTTTTTATTGGAAAATCATAAGAAATTTTTAAAATGCTGAATTTTTCGAACGAATTGATCGATTTTGACGGTTAGGGGGTCGTTGGAAAGATATCAAGCTCTAGAATCCGAATATCGATGTTTCAGGGGTCGACGACCTCATTTAGTGCCATCTATGGCCGCAGGACTGAATTTTGACCCTTTTCTTGAAAGGACCATATTTTGAAGACAGTTGAACCGATTTTCGAACTTTTATATTTTTTCTTGATCTATGGCCCAAGGGCTTTCCAACCATACATCAATCGCGGCTTAAGGCCTTCCAGGCTAGAATTTGGAAATTACGTGTATATAAAGCAAGTCGACTTTTCAACACACTAAGGTGGTTTCGCACTCGCGCGTACTGCCGTCCGCTGTGATTTAACTCAATATGATATGTATTTATTTTGGATCAGTTCGCAAATTACAACAAAATGATGTATTTTTTTAAACGCATTTAATGCTCATTAATGTTGTCTGTCGGCACTGAAAGAAAAGCAAACTAAAGACATACCATTTTTGTGAAATATCGTACAATTCATCTCTTTCGCTCTATGGAATTTTTAGCATTCGATTATGAAACATTTGGCTTAACGAATACGATGCTCACATCATCCAATTACACGCACATATCACCCTATTGTTTTCCATCTGTTCCATTTTGTAGAAGAGGAACAGGGGTTTTTTTGCTTATTTATTATGCGGCAAAAGCAACAACTCAACATCACGTATAGCCCAAATTTGTATCGATAAGAATAAAATATCTATAAATTATTTGTGCTAAAGCGTTTTCCACCATTTGCCAGTTAGTAATAATGAGAGGGAATCATCGGCTCTCCATTTTTAGTGGGCAGCTTAATGTAACGAATTACAAAGTAAATAACAGAACAACAGTGGCAGCAGTAGCAACAAACTCGATAAATAGACAGAATAAAAAAAAAACACAACACAAAAGAGACAGATCAAGGCTACAATCCAAAATGAACTATGAAAATTAGAAGAAAAAAAAACACGATTCGAGAGAAGGAGAGACAAAACGCTAAAAATATATCAAATTCAAATGTATTGCACGAAATTTAAATAAATGGCATCGGCACGATGAGCATAGAATGATGAAAATACCATACCAAAAAATGTTACTCATAAAATATATCCAAATTTCGCAATGATGCCTACCAAAATCGCCAATTGAAAGAGCGTAACACATCACCGCATTTAAAAAAAATCAAGTACTTCAATTTTCAATAACAGAAAGAAAGAGTTGTACCTTCAGAGATCAGACAGAAAAGGAAAGAGAGAGAGAGAGAGAGAGAGAGAAAGAGAGATGAAAATGTGTTTGAAAATCAGAAATTGGCCGTTAGTGTTTGAGTAAAATCGGTATCGTGAATGAAAAGTGATGTTATACATTTCGCCAGTAAATAAAGCACTTTATGCAGACGAGGATATTGACTGTGTTAAACAAATATACTATCATTGCGATGATAAAGAGATGTGGTTGTACTTCATCGGCGTGCATTTTACTTCATGAATAAATTTTGCTTACTTACCATTCGTTTTTTTTCAGCTCACATTTTCTCCTCCATTGTTGACGGTTGGTTTTGGTACGCTGATTTGATGGTTTAGGCAAGCAAGTGAAAATACATTTCATATTATTATATATTTTTAGTGTTGAAAATGTTGTCGGGCCGAAGACGAGACGATATAACATTCAATTGAGAGTGTTTATGTATTAGGAATGTTGAAGCTCGATCTAAAAGAAGACTAATATCAGCTCATTTGTTTTCATTATTCTTTAAGCGATTCCCAATCCCCGTCCCGGTGTAAGATTTACAGTAATGCTTTTCATTCGACGATTTTCTTTAGTCATGTCCTTCGAAAGATGTAATACATATACATGTAGAACTTATAGTTTTAACTTTCATGTTTTCATTCATTCCGTCAAAGTGCTCACGAGTTCCGTTTTTAATTCGTTGAGTGTCAAAAGACGAAATGCTTTAAAATTACATCGACTCATTTCAGACTGAATTATTATTCTCTTCATTTTTAACATCCATTTATAATCCAAACGAAATAGTTCCAATCCAGCTCATTTCTCATTACATTTTTCTCAATTCATTTTTGAATATGTTCAAAGAGCCAGAGAGAAGAGAGCACCGAAACTGAATGTAAGAAACTTTTGACAAGCTATTACAATTTTATTTCTTCCATAAAAGACAAAACGGATGAACGGACGGACGGATGAGCAAATGAAAGACAAAATTTACTTTAAAATTAACATTTTTCTTTTTGATCGTGAATATAAACACTTTTCGTGCAATAGCAATTCACATCACTTTTTACGCCTTACACAGTTTCGCCACATTTCGTCATTTCATTTCGAATTATACTCGACGCTAATGTGAAGAACGAAAAAGTTATTTTATTTTTATTTTTTTGTGCTATTTTACTTTTCCGCACACCTAGTGTAGGAAAGGTATTGTATTAGGCCAAAAAATTAAAGTCACCCCAAGACATGTTTTCTATGCATATTTCTCGTAGAAAACACGATTGAAGATGATTTTGGGGCATATTAATGCGCGTCGCTGTGTGTGATGTGTCCTGTGTTCTGTGGCGTGCAAAATTTGCTAACACGATCTTCTAAAAACTCAATTCAAATTCTGACTTTGCAGGATGATTTTGGACTACTAGGAGACGTGCTGATTAGTTTTTGAGCAATATCTGTTGACCGGTGTAATTTTTTTTGGTCCGAATGGAGTACCTACATCCATACATTTTTTTATCATTTTTCAACCATTTTGGTGACACGATGGTTTCGTGCTTAGACATGAAATTCAAAATCTGACTTTGCGGGATGATTGGGCACTACGAGATATAGATCTGGTCAAAGTGGAATTGTCAAAAGTCTCCAACATTTATGTGTGCGTGAACACAATATGTTTTTATACGAATGAATAAAGGTTGACATATAACCAACTTCATGCTAGTGCTAAGAATTATAATTTGTGAATTGATAGAAATTGTGGAAATTAAATAATAAGTGAATGTTTAAAATATTGTAAGTACAAAAAATGTTTAAACATTTATTTTATTCTAAACAGATAAAAAAATTCCAAAATAATTAGTTCATTTTTCGAAATATCAAAGAAATTTCAAACATCATTTTCATTCCAAATCTACAAGTAGCATGAAGTTGGTTATGAATGGTTCGCTCGAACAGCTGTTTCTTGACATTTTGTTTTGTTTGTGTGTGATTAAAAGAGTGTAAGAAACTGCGTTAGGGACTTTATAAAGGCATTTGACATTACCTCTTTTCAACGACATTGATTGATCGGTGTAAAACTTGGACTCTGAAGGGGCACTTATGAGAAAAATGCCTTAAAATGACATTCTTTCAATTTGAACGCTGAAAGAATGTGTAGTGGGGGGTTTTTTGGCACGAGAAACCCGAATCTGATGCAATCATGGGGCGGAAATGAATGAGACGAAATTTTCTCTCTTATGGGCGCAACCATATTGAAAATTTTGTATGCGCTTATATGTAAAATTGGTGGCGCCACTGGTATATTTGATGGAAAAAGAAGAACATGTTTGAGTCTCACTCGTTTATATGTAAATTACATAGGCATTTCCAGGCCATGGATGCAATCAATTTTTCACAGACTTTTCATGCAAAAATCCACAAAAAATTTCATTTTTGTATGAAAGACATGCCTTTGTGGTACCGTAATGATGTGAAACTTTGAACAGGCTATTTTTTTGATTGAAATTTCTTTAGACTTAGTGTGATTATTTATTTTGATAAGAAAATAATATTCACAAGTTTTCATGGTAATTTAAGTTACTGCAACCATACATAGACCATAATTTCAGTTTATTCCCAAAATTTCGGTTCCATGCGGAAAAGTCAGCTTGCGTACGTAAGCCTCTTTATTTTTCTGGTAACTTATTCACGCTGTTTCGCTCAAAACCAAATCCTCAAAATATTGTAGCGCAAGTCGTAACACAAGCTTACGCAAGCGCCGCAGCCACTCAAGAGTAAGCGTATACACGCATGTGTAAACTATGAGCTGGCTTGTACCGAATCATTTGAATAAAGATCAGGACACTCTCTGTTTAGCTATTCAACACAACAGTCGTCTTTTCTTAATACCAGCCGCCAGTCTTTTCGACTTCGGAGCAGCAGGTATCGACTGTGTCCATTGTATATTACTATTCATTCATTCAACACAATTTTTCTTAGTCTATTTTACCGAATATTAAATAACAAATTGTCCAATTTTAGATTAGATTAGATTTATTTCACCGCCAAGTGCTGGCTGAACTTAGGTATTTTTACAGAGTATATATATAATATATGTATAATAAGAGTTTAAGTTAAATAATCAAATAGTTAGGTGAATATAATAGTTGAAAATGATATAAATACATAATTTTTTAGGTGAAAATAAATAATTTGTTAGGTGTAAATATCAATTGATAATCAGTCAGACTAGAAATGAGAAAATAATTGAATTATTATCATGACTAAAAAAAATTTTTTAAAGTATTTTTCTTTCTTTTTTGGTTTTGTTTTCCATTGCCTTTCTCCCTAATTTAATTCTAATTTTATTTCAATATATCACAAATGTATGCAATCAGCTTCACAAACTAGCCCATGATCCAAAAGCAGAATCAGGGAGACTAAGGAGCTTTTGTCGAAATTGATAGTGTGGCAACGATGGATCGATGAATAGAGAAGCATAGTTGAAGATACGACAAGCATTATTGAATGGCGATTGAGTGGAATGATCAGTGCGGCATGTTTGGAGACGAATAAATTCAGGATTGCGTAGTGTTCTAGTTCCAGTGTTAAGATTTATTTGAGATAGGAGTTGTGGTGCGTTGTATTTGCCAATTAAGATGGAATGCATGAATAGAGCAGCAGCGTTAACTCTTCTCCTAACCAGAGTTTGAAGGTCTAAATCACAGCATCTCTCTACATATGGACGTAGAACGTAATTGCTTACTGATCGGTTGTAATAGTCGCCATTGATCAGCATAACAAATTGTTTTTGAGTACGCTCAACAAATTTCTTTTGTGTTGTGAGCGATGGTGACCAAACTGTACTCGCAAATTCGAGATTTGAACGGGCTAATGCAAAAAACAGGATCTTTATGATGTCCTTATCGAAATAGTAACTTTGTCTTTTCACAAATTGTAGGGCAGCATTAGCTTTATTGCAAGCATATTCGATATGTGAATTGAAGTTCATTTTCCGGTCGAGAATAACTCCCAAATCACGAATTTCATTTACGCGCTCAATAATTTCGCCATCAATTGTATAATCGTTGATTATAGGATGATTTTTAGTATGAAATGATATAATACGGCACTTTGACCGATTAACTTTAAGCTCATTCCGTTCACACCAAATCATAAAACTGTTTATGGCCTCCTGTAGTTTTAGAACGTCATCATTATTCCTTACAATCACCGAAAGTTTCTTGTCATCGGCGAAGTTTGACGAAAAAATTCCCGGCATATCAACGTCAGAGTCATTGAAAAATGCGATAAAAAGCAATGGTCCGAGTATTGTGCCTTGGCCCACACCAGAAAGCACAGAAAATTGCTCCGATTCAGCATTACCAACTCTTACATATTGATGCCTCGAGTCGAGGTAGGAGATCATCCATAATAAAACTGAATTAGATAAACGAAAGTTTGATAATTTCGCTATCAGCTTATTTGGGTTGACCGAGTCGAAAGCCTTGCTTATATCTGCATAAAAAACGTCTAGTTGAGATTTCTGTTCAAATGCAGTGTGCGCTAAATTTGTCATTTCCATTAAATTCGTTTCGATATTTCGGCTAGAAACGAATCCATGTTGCGTGCTGGATATTTTCGATGACATGATCAGTTTCAACTGAATATAAACTACTCGTTCAAAAACTTTAGCAAGCCCGGGTAAAACAGTAACACCTCTGTAGTTTTCCACATCACTACGCTTACCATTTTTAAAAATTGGAGTCACTCTACCAACTTTAAAGCTATCGGGATAAACGCCATTACGAATGCTTAGAGTAAAAATCATGCTTAGTGGCTCAGCCAATACATCAGCACATTCTCTTAGAAAGATAGGAGAAACCATGTCTGATCCCACACCCCTACTGACATCCATACTGCTAAGTACACATCTCACTGATTCACTAGAAATATCGATGTTATAACAATTTGTGTCATTCCTATTGTTGATAAATTCCAAGATGTTGAGATCGCTAACGTCGTGTTTAGTGTAAACAGTTTGAAAAAAGCTAGCAAAGAGATTAGCTTTATCTTTATCTGTCGAAGCGTGCTGGTCTTTGTAACTTACAGATATTGGAATATTACTCGAGACACGTTTGCTATTGATGTATCTCCAGAATGATTTGGGATCTCTCCTTAAATTGGTTGCTTGGTCACGGAGATAATCACTGAAAAGTTTCTTACGATAGCTTTCAAAGTCTTCCTTCGCTCTTAAAAATGAAACCTCATTCGGTATATCATCATGGTTGTTTCGTGACCTACATAGGTTCTTGTATTGTTTATTTCGGGCATTTTTCAATGACGACAGGTGCTTATCATGCCACCGAGGTTTATTCGACGATTTAATGGTAGATGAAGGAACATACTTGTCAAAAGTATCATAAATAACATCGTAAAGATTTTTGGTCATCAAGTTAACATCGTCCAATCCACCGTTTAAAGCTCCATTGAGGTCCAGGCTTTGTAGGTGATCACGAATTGAATCATAGTTTGCTTTCTTGAAGCAGTAAGCTGATTGAGAATTTACATTGGTAGCTGTGCATGGGAGACAGTCGACCAAGCACATTATCGGGACATGAAATGGATCGCTTTTAAAGGTTGGCAACAATAAAGTTTCAGCTTTCGATACAATTGATAATTCCGGATTATTGATATAAACAAGATCCAAAACGTTGTTACTAATATTTTGCAAGTTTGAGAGCTGGTGGAGTCCTGCGCTTAACATTCTTGAAGTGGTCTCTCTTGCTATGACTGACCTGCCCGCTTGAGAGTCTCCAATGGTCGGAACAAAGTCGAAACCCATATCGTTTTCATGCCAACTTGTTGTATCACCCAAATTAAAATCACCCATTATAATAAGTGTATCGGTTTTATTTATTTCTGATGCCAAAAATTCAATTGCCTCCAGATGTGCTTTGTATAAATCAAGGGAAGCTCCGCACCTGATATAGAGACAGTACACATATATTGAACCACTCAAAAGAGGTAGTTTAATACAGACTGCCTCCAAATCCAATATTTTGTCGAAAACGAATTCTTCACAGATAAAAATAGATCTAACAGCAATGAGAACACCACCCCCAATAGTGGCACTTTTGGCGATTGATGTTGATGACCTATCCTTCCGAAAAACGGTGTATTGCTTGTCTAGAAATTCTGTATTCTTGACATTCGCTTTTAGCCATGTTTCAGTGAATGCAATGATGTCATATTCACCACACGAAGATGATATTAGTAAGTCGACGCATTTATGATCAGAAATGCCATCCACATTCTCATAAAACAATTTTAAAAGTTTATTATCAAAATTACGTTTTGAATTTGAATCATATTGCTTTTGTGTTATTTCACCATTGCTTGAGAGAGAACTGGCTCTAAAAAATGTGAGCTTGTTGCGTTGATTTGTGCGTTCGTACGAGAAATGTCAACAATTGGTTTTGCTTTATGGATGAAGCTCTTCAAGGTGCAGTGCGATGGCCAGAAATTGATTTCTGAGATTATATTGGCAACCTCAGTCGAGACGTCGATCTTAAATGACACGAACGAAAGCGTTGATATTTCGCGATTTTTTGGTACCAACAGTATAACTCTTGCCTCTTGCAGCATAGTATCCGAAATTCCTCTACTCAATAAATAATCCAAAATCATTTGTGGTGTCGTGTCTATTTTGAATTTTGATAAATGGAATTCGTGAATGCGCTGACAGGGTGTCGCTGAAGAAGAATCAGATTCAGGTAGAGCCATCATGGGATTTGGTGATTGCGCTTCGGTGGGTGGATCAAGTACAATACATGATTTAGTTGCATTAAGTTCGCTGTACAAAATCGAATTTTCAATGACGTCAGTATCATTCATTACATTGACGATTCCAGATATTTGCGACGTGTTTTCGACGAATTTTTCTCCCAATTCAGGCTCACCACCTGATGAATTGGGCGTATGCCTCTTTTGCGCTTTATATTTAAACGATTCCGGAACAGTTTTTGATTTTTGTATATTTGGGATCATTGCCTCTTTTATGCGCTTATTCATGGTGGTAAGATTCCCGATGGATGGAGATTCGGATTCTAGATTGATTTGATTCGTGAATGCATTTGTCAATCGAACAAAGTTTACGTTAGATGCAAGGTTTTCCACTAGAGTATCGATTTTCCCATCCATTCTATCACATTTATCTCGAATATCGTAAACTATATCAATATTGATCGCATCCGATAGTGCTGATGTTCTTGGTATTACAGAATCAGTTGAGCTTTTTGGTATGGAATTTTGTGCTACTGAAGTGTTTGACTGTATATTGGAAGACAGAGTGGATTGTATACCGGATAGAATATCTCTATTTTCATGCTGTTGTTGTTTCAAATAATCCAATGCTGCCCAAGTATTCCGCTCAAAGCCGGCAAGAAGAGGATAAATATCTGAGTTGTCTGTATTCTGTGACGTTTGATTACAAATTAGCGTCCAATCCAGTGGATTTGATTTGTGAGTTTTGCTTACTGGAGTGTTAAAATTGCTGATTGTACTATTAAGTATTCCCCCAGGGAACACCAGGTCAAATTTATTGTATATCGAGTCAAGCTTCAATAAGATATCGTGAGATTTGGACGATCTATCCGATGAATGGGAATTTTGTGAGTCAATTTTGGCATGCAAATCGATCAATTTATGGAGTAGATTGTCATATTGCTCGTTTGTGACTCCATTTAATTGATTATTAATGTTTGATTCCGAATCATTGTGAGCTTTATTAGCCACCGAATGAATAACAGTTGAGTTTTCTTCGATTTTGTTTAATTTGGAATTCATTGATTCAAAAAGTTTATGAATTTGTGATAAATCAATTGCCGAATTGCTTACATTTGATGTATTGGTAGATACATTCAAACCCTGACCAATAGATGGCGCTGATAGTCGTCTGTCAGTAGATGTACGTGATTTCGGTCTGATTCTCACTAGCTTGTCATTGCACATTGGACAGAGGAAAACGATATTATTTGTAGCGTTTGATAAAGCGTTTAGAACTGCTGGATCAGATATTGCGAAACACTTCATATTAAATGTCTTTAAACAGCCTCCACATTGAATTTTAAGTTTTTTCGCTGTTCTATTATTGAAACAGCTGTCAGAGCAATTGTGCTGCATTGTTGTTGTTTTGTACAAAGTCAGAAATATCACAAAAGAAATTATAAATATATCACAAATTAATAAGTTTGTCCACGAAACTTCATATATATCGGATAAAGCGTAACAAAAACTACGAAATAAATTTGTTTTTAAAACGTGACAATAATTAATTACTATAAATAACGAGTAAAATATACAGAGCACATAAGAATACACGTATATACGACAACTGTCAACGATATATTTCTAAAAATGTGTCTCGATGCCGATTCCAAAAATGTTTCTCTTATTAAATTAAAATTCCTACACGCCACGTAAAATGGTTGACTATGTGCATATTCAGCTGTAAACGTTCGTACTCTAATAAGTTCTGTATTTCTCAAATTTCTTTGGTTTACGTTATATTGTTGTCTTGTGTATACAATCTTATCTCTAAGCGAACGCGACACTATTTTACCTAATAAGAGATCATAAATTAAAAATATAGAGGCATTTATACGCCGTCTCCAAAGCGGTTGAATACTTAAAACATCACATCTAAACTAATACGGTGGCAATACAAAATTCTCATCTCTTTGGTAAACAAATCTTAACGACCATATCACAAATTTTTTCTGAATTGACTCTATTCTATCGGAGTGTATACGGTGGTATGGTTGCCATACTATACTCGCGTACTCTAACTTTGATCTGACTAGCGCAAAATACAATATTTTAGCCGATTCAATCGTGAACTTATTCTTTAATGTGCGTTTTATGAATCCCATTGTCCCAAGTGCACTGGCTGTGATCGCATCAATGTGATTGACGAACGTTAGTCTTGTGTCGAAAATAACGCCGAGATCCTTGTGTAAATTTATTCGTTCAAACGTGTGTTGGCCGTTATTGATCGTATAAACGTAGTCGATTTGGTTTCCACCTTTTGAATACGTCATTACGAAGCATTTCCTCAGATTCAGATATAGGCTGTTTTCAGTGCACCAGTTGCTCAGCTGATCAATGGCTCTTTGGAAAATAATGGCATCAATGGGCGATCGTATTGTTCGTATCAGTTTTAGATCGTCTGCGAATAATAAAACAAGTGCATTTGTTACGGTTTCGACAATGTCATTAATAAAAATAATAAAAAGACATGGTCCCAAGATACTTCCCGCAGGTACTCCCGATGACACAGTGAAAGTTCTTGACTTTCTTTCCCCGATTCCAACAAATTGTGTTCGTGCTGTCAAATATCCATGGAACCATTTGACAAGTTGTCGGCCGAATCCAAAGATCACCAACTTCTTCAACAATTTCTTGTGGTTCACACGATCGAAGGCCTTCTCAAAATCTGTGTACAGCACATCCGTTTGACATTTTTTGACCATTGAGTCCATCGTGAAATTTACCATTTGCAGTAAATTTGTTGAGGTTGATCGATTTTTCACGAAGGCACCTTTATTTTTGGTTGAAATTTCATGAAACTTGGTGATATTACTTATTTTGGTCAGAAAATAAGATTCACAAGTTTCCATCGTGAATGGGTCACTGCAATTTTTCATGATTTTCCAGTAAAATGTACCTCCTTTCCTTTCAAGTCGCTGTCTTATATGGAACCGCAAGTTGAAAATTCCTTCATATCTTGAATCTGGGGACTATAAGACATGTTTTCCCAAGTGGCCACCAAATTGTGCCAAAAATCTTCCACCCTAATAAATATATTATAAATCAAAATAAAATAAATTCAACTGAGAAAAAGTTATCGAAAATGTCTAGCGAAAGAATTGTTTCGGAGCACAGCTATCGTTCACAATTTCTGTAGACAGACAAATAAAAATGACTGTCTTTTAACCCTTAACCGGGCAGGTCAAAATCCTAACGTTATCGGGCAAGTGGAGCCTCTGAGGCCCGACGTACATTTTCCATGCAAATTCAATGAAAAAAAATTTTTTTTTCTTTTTTCAAATTTCATTGAATTTATACGACGAAAATTATTGTTTCAACATAATAGATATTGAATTAAATATGTTTTTTGTAAAATATATTATATATATATATAAAAATTTATGACATTTTGTATGGAAAATGTACGTCCGGTAGTTGTTCAAACCTCAATACAGCGCTACTTAGGGAACCAAATTCAAAACAACTTTTATCAACGATTAGTAGAAGGATGAAATATATTACAAAACAATTTATTTGATTAAAATAATATTTTATGCGATTTTATGTATCTTTAAAAAAATGCGCTACCGGGTCTCTGAGACCCGACCTGCCCGGTTCAGGGTTAAAAAAAAAACGGTCAAATTTCAGTTTTACTACCAATGATGTCGTTGATGTCCCTGAAATAACCAAATGAATATATTCAAACTGAAATTCCCAAAAATAGTTCTTATCATCGGTATTAAATACAATTTCCCCTTGTTTCTATTCTTTTCTGAGGATCGTAATGATAATGATAAGAATGGCTGGTACCACCGCGCCGTAAAAATACACCGTCGTACACTTTTTATCTGAACTTTTCTGGAAAATGCATATATTTTAATTTGTGATATATTTTGGCACAACTGCGACGATGCGCTTGCAATGTACTCTATTATACACTTGATAAAACTTTTCCTATTAAAATTAAATTTTATTTTTCTCATTTTTTTTCGGTGTACGTTCAATTACCAGCATCGGTTTTATCGTGTTGTCGGCATTAAAAAAAGGAGAAGAGAATGAGCCACATTTTTCTTTCATTTTCTCTTTATGTACCACGCTTAATAAAATGAAGTTGAATAATAATACATTGTTCATCTCCGTCAGCTTAGTACCATCTCATCGTTTCAACGGGTTTTGCCGTTGTGGGTTGGGGTGTTGAGAAAAATGATTACGTCGAAAGGGGGAGTTAGAGCTTAGAGATAATTATAATCTAGCAATCAATGCACATTACAAGACTAGAAGATTCCATTTTATCTATTCAATTTAAGTTTTTAATGTTGTTCCATCTTTGAAAAGTCGATGAAATCACCAAATATTACATTTGCATTGTATTTAGAGTATTGGGCGTGCGTCCTCGAGAGCACCTTCTTAATAGAAACTAAATAGTTACAAGTGAAGAATAAAACTCTGGACGATTGATTAGATAATGTTCACGGGACGAAAGGGTATTTTTTATATTTTTTATATTTTTTACTACGAAATTTACCTCTCTTCATCATTGCTGTGTTTTTCATTTTTTCAATCTCTTCACAGTAATACCGTGACAGTATGCATCAATTTGCTAGCAGACATAGCACGAGCAAGATATAACTCTTAAATGATCTTAAGAGCGAGTCATTAACTTTACGGTAGTGTTAATCATAAATTACGTAAAATGAATTTGTAAGCTAGTTCAAAATAGCCGAAACAAAAAGCTATACTGAAATGAGAAAAAAAAACATGATCAGCAGTAACGCGCTGAAATGTAATTTATTAACGGTTTGCATGGTGGAATGGAAAGATAAGATGTGGAGAACTATACAAAGAACCTTGTACACTGAATGAGACGTCTATATAACTCAAATGTGGATTTCAATGCGAGTGAGAGAGGCAAAAACATGAAAGGCTCACTTTTTATACAAACTTCTTTGTAAGTATTTGTAAGTATTTGTTCACCACGTGTCCTACAAATTTTATCGATGATGTGTATGCACACGCACAATCAACATGATCTTCACATTCGTTTCGCTTAATCAAGTGTTTGCACTTGGCATATGAATCGTTGCGGCGAAAGAGTAGCTCTTATTTTTCTCCAAATAATACTGCAACATAAAGTTTTTTATGAATAGTTTATTTGTTGTATTACAACAAATAAACCGTGTGAAAAAAGCTTCATGTTGCAGTATTATTTGGAGAAAAATAAGAGCTACTCTTTCGCCGCAACGATTCATATGTTATTTGATTTGTCTGGCATCTTTCAATGTAAACTTTGTTCAAATAAAGAATATTTTTGAAATTCAAACATCAGTTTTCAGTATAAATATATCCATTAAATTGCAGAATCTTCATTGAAAATTAGAAATTTAAATCGAACGCTAGAAACAATAAAGTTCCACGTTGCTTATTGTAAAAATGTTGCGATTTGTAACATTTCTCTTGTGTGTGACTTGGTTGGCAACAGTGAATGGCCAAGACAGTCACAAAGTAGTAGAAACAAATAGTGGTAATGTAAAAGGTCAACTAGAAAAAACGCTTTGGCTAGAAACACCGTTTTACTCTTTTAGAGGCATACCCTATGCTAAAGCACCAATAGGCAAACTTCGATTTAAGGTAGCATTGTATATATACTTTAATAAAACTAATGGTTAAAGATGGATTTTCTATCTGTAATCAAATGTGATTTTAACCATATCTATTCTACTTTGAAGAATTTAAAAAAACATAAATAGATCTTTCAAAATCACATTCATAGGCACCTGAACCGATAAAAAAGTGGAAAGGTGTACGTAATGCATTTAAATATGGAAACAAGTGTGCTCAAAGATTTGCAATTTTTAACGAAAAATCAGAAGATTGCCTATTTCTGAATGTTTTCGTTCCAGGTGATATAATAAATACATTCAGCATATTCAAGCTTATATATTTATTTCCATAACAATTTAGCGATCAAAAATGAAAAGGAAAAATTGCCAGTATCACTTGTTTTACACGCCGGACTCTTTGCTGGAGGTTTGGTCTTTTTGCATTTAAAACTTTATGTCAGGCAATTTCAATACTTCTCTCTCTTCTGTACTTGAAGGATCTGGTGACGAGATTTTACCAGATTTTACCGTTGAAAGTGATATAATCTTGGTAACTGTAAACTATCGTCTTGGAATACTTGGCTTTTTGTCATTGGGAACTCCCAAATATTCAGGAAATATGGCATTAAAAGACCAGCAATTGGCGATGAAATGGATTCATGAAAATATTGAAGCCTTTGGAGGTGATAATAAAAGAATTACAATCATCGGAGTATCGGCAGGTACAATTATATTATTTTAGTCGATTAAAATTTAAATACGATAACATTGCATAATTTTTCCTCTGTTTCTCAACGTTTATAAAGGAGGAAAAGCCAACGGTTTTCACTTACTTAATGAAGAGTCTTCCAAATATTTCAATCAACAAATTACAATGAGTGAAACATTACTTTTAAAATTACTTTTCCATTATTGAAGAATTGTTATTCATTCTTTTGAATATTTTTCCATTTTTATTTTTTGATTCTGTCCCAGGTGCAACGTCAAATAACATATATAGCTTAAACAATGGCGACCATCGATGCATGATGGAAATTTTTTATGCAAAACATAATTCAGGCAAATCCAACTTGACGAAGCTAATTGATTTTCTTGAAAAGGCCAATGTCGATGATATACTTAATTTTAATCAAAACGCTATTAGTGGATTAATTTCGCCGTGGACTCCAATCATTGAAAGTAAGACACATGTTTCATCAAGACATCAGCACTTAAATTTCATTTTAAACAAAAAAGCACTTCATCTAATATATTCAGTGGCGTAGTAATAAGCGTCTACTTTAAGAGATGTTCGTCGCATTTCTTATTATTATTAACCTGAAAGTATGCAATGCTTGAATCAAGCAAACATTGCAAAGCAGTAATGCTTTCTATGTAGTGTATGGCCGATACTACAGATGTCTTTGATTGTAAACAACACGAAATAATAATATACCTATTATCAAAATTATGGTAATAGACTCGTTTATATGAACTATACATTTCTTGAGGAGCAGTTTAAAAGATCTACACAGTATGGATTGTATTTTATCCAATCTTTATTTGTTTTTTTTTTTTAATTTCAGAAACAAATGCCAAACGTTCATTTTTTACTGAGGATCCAATGACTAAATTTCAAACAACGAAAAGTATAAACAAAGTTGCATTTTTTACATCAACGCAATATGTAAGTTTGAAATATTGGTAGTAGTAGTTAAAAATGTCGTTTTTTTTTGTAAAAATACAACATTATGCGTGTCATTAGTTTGACAGTGACAATAAGTGTCAAAAATTTATCAAATTCCATCTGTCAAAGTGAACACAAGTTTATACACACAAGTTTTTTATTGCGTTCAAAATGTCGAATTTCGTTCCAACAAGTTTTGCATTTGC